AAATAACAATGTAATGTTTATTTGTGGGATGAATAGAACACAAAACCCACTGGGCAAATGGACACCAGATTTGGACACAACACCTCTCAGGCCAATGAGTGACCATCACTCATAAAAACACTGGAAAACTTGGCGGAAGGGACTTAAAAAGCCAAAAAATACATTACAACGGATGCGCAAAACCACATATGCATATACACACACAAAACCCAAATGAAAGGAAGTTCTCAAGAACCTTTTTCACAGGCGGGCAGATCCAACTCCAAGTCCTGAAGGAGGCCTTCCATCGCGTCCACCCAGTTCAACAAACCGCCCAGGATTTGGACCGATGCGGCTTGGACGTCCGAAGCCGGTGGGGTCAGGTTGATGTTCTGAAGATCGAAGACCTTCTTCTGCAAACTGTGGCTGCAGTAGGGAGTTTGCAAGAAATCCTAAGAGGGGAAATAGAGGAAAGGACAAACGTTTGATTGTAGGAGAACTACAACTCCCAACTTCTTGAGACATCTTCTAAACCCTGCCAGTATTCAAAGTTAGTCATGTTGGATCTGTATGTCAAGTTTGGTCCATATCAATTGTTGGTGAGATGAACTATAATCCCCTGGATATGGGTGAACTACAACTCCCAACATCCTAGGTCAATAATTCACTTCCTAAACATTGCCAGTATTTAAAGTTGGTCATGTTGGATCTGTATGTCAAGTTTGGTCCACATCCATTGTTGGTGGGATGAACTATAATTCTCTGGATGTGGGTGAACTACAACTCCCAACATCCTAGGTCAATAATTCACTTCCTAAATCTTGCCAGTATTCAAAGTTGGTCATCATGTTGGATCTGTATGTAAAGTTTGGCTTATATCCATTGTTGATGGGATGAACTATAACTCTCTGGAAGTGGGTGAACTACAACTCCCAACATCTTGAGTTAATTTTTCTCCCCAAGCTTTGTCAATATTCAAAGTTGGTCATGTTGGGTCTGTATACCAAGTTTGGCCCATATCCATGATTTGTGGGTCTACATCCATTGTTGGTGGGATGAACTAGAACTCTCTCGATGTGGTGAACTATAACTCCCAATATCCTGGGTCAATTTCCCCCCCAAAAAAACTTTTCCAGTATTCAAAGTTGGTCATATTGGGTCTGTATACCAGGTTTGGCCCATATCCATGGTTTGCGGGTCTACATCCATTGTTGGTGGGATGAACTAGAACTCTCTCAATGTGGGTGAACTTAACTCCCAACATCCTGGGTCAATTTTTCTCCCCAAACTTTGCCAGTATTCAAAGTTGGTCATGTTGGGTCTGTGTGCCAAGTTTGGCCCATATCCATGGTTTGCGGGTCTATGTCAATTGTTGGTGGGATGAACTAGAACTCTCTCAATGTGGGTGAACTATAACTCCCAACATCCTGGGTCAATTTTTCTTTGTGTGATGGTTGTTTCTTGCAAAGAAACAACATTATAATGTTCTTTTTTTATTTGGTGCTAAATAGTTTTTCTTTTATTCGGAGAATTTAGTCCATTGACGTTGTTTGAAAACAACAGTTCCTTCTTCCGATCCCGAATGATCCATTGCCGTGTCTGAATAGAATGCGTAGTTCTTTGGTGACGTCTTTCTTCGTCTCTTCCTTCTCTTTCCTAGAAAGAGCCAACTAAAAGTTTGGTCCATATCCATGGCTGGTGAAAGTCACAGTTCTCTCCGGAATTGGGTGAACTACAACTCCCAACAGCCAAGAGCAAGTAATCTGAGACAAGTGTGGCTTTCTGGTGGTACCTGAACTCCTTCCAAGGCTTTCTTCAACCTCTCAATGTTTTCGGACACTTGCTCCATTTCGGATCTTTTGACGCGCATCTCCTCCCTCAGCTCCATTTCCTTCCGGCAATATTCTGCATTCGTGGCTTCGATGTGCTTGATCTTCTCTACAATCTGTTTTTCAGGAAGGAGAAAGCATAATAATAAGGGATAACAACAACAACAACAACAACAACAACAATATAATAATAATACAATCGAACTGTCTTCTTGCGTGACTTGAGTACGTTGACAACACTAGAGTGAATATTCTTACGAGTGAACGTTGTCAATCAAATCCACGAATAACCATGGAAGAGACCTCAAGGGCCATCCAGTTTAACTCCCATCTGTCTTGAAGGAAAGGCACAATCCGATCCCTCCCAAAGGATGGCCATCCAGCCCATGCTTAGTAGTAATAGTGATAATGATAATGATAATAATAATAATAATAATAAGTAGTAGTAGTAACAGGGATAACAATAATATATTGAAGGAATAATAGTAATATGTAACAGGGATAATAATAATAATATATTGAAGGAATAATAATAATAATAATAATAATAATATGTAACAGGGATAATAATAATATATTGAAGGAATAATAATAATAATATGTAACAGGGATAATAATATATTGAAGGAATAATAATAATAATAATAATAATAATAATAATATGTAACAGGGATAATAATAATAATATATTGAAGGAATAATAATAATAATAATAATAATAATAATAATAATAATATGTAAATATCTGATACGCAGGACGTATTTTCATTCACTGGATCAAATTTGGCACAAATACTCGATATGCCCAAATTTGGATACTGGTGAGTTTAGAGGGGATTGATATTGACATTTGGGAGTTGTAGTTGCTGGGATTTATAGTTCACCTACAATCAAAGAATATTCCGAACTCCACCAGTGATGGAATTGAACCAAATTTGGCACACAGAACTCCCATGACCAACAGAAAATACTGGGTTTGGTGGGCATT